GACACGTGCTGTAAGCAATTAAAGATCGCGAAAATCGCAATTTTTCACAAATTTCAACCAAAGTATATGCAATATAGATTTGGTAAATATGCACTTGCGTGGATTCGAAAAAATTCGTAAAATTGTGTCTGATTAATTTATTTTATATTGTATGCAATGTGAAGTGCATAAAAATGTATATAATATATTGTATACAATGTGAAGTACATAAAAATATGTATTTAATATTGTATACAATATTAAATACATTTTCGTATACCTCACGTTGTATTCAATTTTGAATACATTTTTATATACTTCACATTGTATGCAATATTAAATACATTTTCGTATACCTCACGTTGTATTCAATTTTGAATACATTTTTATATACTTCACATTGTATGCAATATTAAATACATTTTCGTATACCTCACGTTGTATTCAATTTTGAATACATTTTTATATACTTCACATTGTATGCAATATTAAATACATTTTCGTATACCTCACGTTGTATTCAATTTTGAATACATTTTTATATACTTCACATTGTATGCAATATTAAATACATTTTCGTATACCTCACGTTGTATTCAATTTTGAATACATTTTTATATACTTCACATTGTATGCAATATTAAATACATTTTCGTATACCTCACGTTGTATTCAATTTTGAATACATTTTTATATACTTCACATTGTATGCAATATTAAATACATTTTCGTATACCTCACGTTGTATTCAATTTTGAATACATTTTTATATACTTCACATTGTATGCAATATTAAATACATTTTCGTATACCTCACGTTGTATTCAATTTTGAATACATTTTTATATACTTCACATTGTATGCAATATTAAATACATTTTCGTATACCTCACGTTGTATTCAATTTTGAATACATTTTTATATACTTCACATTGTATGCAATATTAAATACATTTTCGTATACCTCACGTTGTATTCAATTTTGAATACATTTTTATATACTTCACATTGTATGCAATATTAAATACATTTTCGTATACCTCACGTTGTATTCAATTTTGAATACATTTTTATATACTTCACATTGTATGCAATATTAAATACATTTTTTAAATGTATTTAAATACATTTAAAAAATGTATTTAATATTGCATACAATGTGAAGTATATAAAAATGTATTCAAAATTGAATACAACGTGAGGTATACGAAAATGTATTTAATATTGTATACAATATGAAGTTCGTAAAAATATATACAATATTACACAAACTAGACTAAAAAATAATTATGTTATACAGATTGCTCGTATTAGTCAAATATTAACTTTTTGGCATTAGAAACAAAATATAAAAAAAATATAATACAAATATAAGATCATCTATATCAAATTCTATTAACGCTTTTTGATGTACTAACTTTATACATTTTTAAAATATTAAACCTGTAACCTGTATTGATTTTAATCAATGTATTTAATCAATGTGTTTAATATTCTATAGAATGCGAAGTATATAAAAATATATTTAACATTGTAAACAATATGAAGTATACGAAAATATATGTAATATTATATACAATGTGAAATACATAAAAATGTATTTAGTATTGTACACAACGTGAAATACATAAAAATTCTTATGCCTTTCAGTGGCTGTGGCTTGACTATGCATCTATTGAGACAATTTAGTCTCCATTACAATTGTCCTTGTACAACCTTGAATGACCTTCATTTATGGGTCATTGTATTCGTCTCGAAAATCTCCAGAATACAGATAAAATACAAATAAAATACTATAAATAAATAAAATACTATAATAAATAATATAAACAATATAATAAATAATACTACCAGAATACAAATAAAAAGCTAAATCATCGCATTTAAAAAAACAAGTTCGACCTTTGTATCTCCCCTACGCCTCCACCTACAAAAAAAACTGTTGACATCGCATTACCTATCCGCTAAAATCAAGCATCTTTGGACTGATCCTTTTTCTTCTACCATTACAAGCAAGCTAGTTATCCAGGTGGCCTGTTTTACGTGTTTCACCCTGTATAGTTCTGCAATGATAATAAACGATATCTGCCGCGTTGAAGTTTCAGAGCCAAGAGGCGCGTTCACGATGACAATGGGTGCCGTTGGTACGTGTACGCGAGGAGAAAAATGCGTCGATCGAAATATGCTCGAAAGAATCCATTTGGCGAAAGTCATTAAGGGGCTCCCGCTTTCGCGGAGCTTTGTCGAGCGCCGCGTCGTGCGGCCAGGAAGTTCGATACGACGACGGCCGTCGTCTACTGGCTTCCTTTCCCGCGAAGACTCGCAATTCCGCGAGTCGATATCGCGGCAGATCGCTACAATGGAACGGCTAGCAGACCGTGGCCAATTTTACGCCAACATTTTCACTTTTCACGGCGCATAGACATCTCAGCGCGCTAAACAACAGCGCGACGAAAATGGCTTCTCGCTTGATCACCTGCTGAATTGCGATTCGTTTCGCCATTCTCCTCTTTCCCTTTGTCTCCACATTGCCAAACTCCTTCGTTCGTCCGCCGACTTCCTTGTTCTCGCCTCGAAACGTCCCGCATGGGAGGAACCGTCGTCGACAGACAGGACGCGTCGAAAAGTATGTCAACGACTTTTTAAACGGAATACGCTTTTTTTGAGATCGGTCCGAATGAATGACTTGAATTTTGCTGAGACATTCGACTGTTAGAAATTGTGCGATTTTTGGTTTTATCATCATTTGGAACGACAAAAAGGTAAGAAAAAAACTTACGTTTCCTCAACCTTTTTATCTGAGCCCGCGACGAAAATTTGAAAAGAAACATTTCGTAAATTTCGGTCACTTATAGAGGGTGTCTAGAAAGGTTCGTATAAACTTATATCCGAAAATGTTTTACTCAGAAAATTTTGAAGGTTATGTCAAGGTGCATATTCATGATTTATTGTAATAGTTATAAGAAATGTTCGAAAATTCCTCCAGGTGCAAGAATGCAGGCTTTCATTCGTCGAATTAGTGATTGTCGAACTTTATCAAAATGTTCCATCTGTATTATAAATATATATAGTTTTTATTATCTATGTGCACATTGTTGTGCATAGGAACAATGTGCATATATATACTATATTATTTTATTAATTTATTATTATTATATTATTATTATATTATTATTATTATATATAATTGGACCGAAATATTATATTAATTACAATATTAGGGGTTAGTTTATTAAGCAGTGGTTAACAAATAATTTTCGAAAATTGTAATTGGTTGGGATGCCAAACAATATAAAAAAAAAGATGTTTTCTCAATTTTTGATATTGCATTTATAGCACAACCCCTCCAACATCTCTAAGAAACACATTCGGTCCAATTTTAAAAAAGTTATTTCGGCCTAAATGATATGCGATCAGTTTCGTGAGCCACGTGTATCGACATCAAAAACAAAAATGGATTTATTCGAATGCGAATACCATACGGAATTAAAAAATTCCGGATACTTTTTGATCATATCTCGTATTCCCGATGATATCATCGAATCCAATTATTCATATTAATTAGAATATAGACTTGGACGTTCCAAAAGCACGCGCGCATTCGAAGATAAATTTGACAATTTTTGCACGTCGAAGAACGAAAATGGCAACGGTCACCGTGCTAAAAGACTTATCCGCGCAATGCCATTAGTATTCCGAGAAACCGTCGCGACTCGTCCGCAACCGCAATTCGAACGTTCTTTCCGCGCTTTGTAACGCGATTCCCTTGTGGCGTGCAGCACACAGCGCGTTGTAATTACATCGGTGTAACATTCAACGCGGACATTTAAAATAATAATAGAAACGGCTGCAGAGGAATCGTGGAATTACACGTGAAAGTACCATCTTTTGCTCGTTCCGTCAACGAAACGCGGTACATTTCGAAGTAATTATTCGATCGTCCTTGCGATTCAATGGAAAAGATTGATTCGTCAACCAGGAAGAACTTGATTAAATAAATCGATCGCATCGAGGAAACTTACTCGACCATTAACGATTGAAGTGCTACTGTTAATTGTTAATCGCAATTAACGATTAAATCTCTTCCAATTGTTAGACGCAATTAGCGATTGAGGTAGAAGTTCAATCATTAATTCCGATTAATTGTGTATGTAAAATTGTATATGTTCGTATAAAATATAATAATGTAAATAAACATGATAAAAATAATTCTTGACGAAACTACATCAAAATATCCTAGAAAATGCTTCGAAAAATTATTAATTGCCTCTCTCAATCGATGATTAATTTAATCAATCGATTAATTCAATCGTCAACTTTTCGACGATTAATGCTTTCAGATCACGGCTGATGATTAATTTATTCAATTGATTAATTCAATCGTCGACTTTTCGACGATTAAAACCTTTAATCAATGACAGATCATTATATTCATCAATCGATTAATTTAATCGATGATTTTTCGACGATTAATGGCTTTTAATCAACGATTGATTAAAATCGATTTTATCAATCGATTAATTCAATCAACTATTTTCGACGATTAATGCCTGTAATTACATTTAATTGTAAATTACATTTATCTAGCGATTAATTTAATCGCCGATTTTTCGACGATTAATGCCTTTAATGAGCGATTGACTATTAATTTTATCAATCGATTAATTTAATCTCCGATTTTCGATGATTAATGCCGATTATCAACGACTGAAAATTACATTTATCAATCGATTAATTTAATCGCCGACTTTTCGAGGATTAATGCCGATAATCAACGATTGAATATTAATTTTATCAACCAATTAATTGAATCGTCGATTTTCGACGATTAATGCCGATTATTAACGACTGAAAATTACATTTATCAATCGATTAATTTAATCAACGATTTTTCGACGATTTTCGATTAAACTGAAGATTTGTCAATCGATTAATTCAATCGTCAACGTTTCGACGATAAATCAGCCTTTAATCGTTTCAATCAATCATTTAATCAAATCGAACATTTTAATCGTCTGGTGTCCAACACTGGTTTAGCAGCACCCGAAACTTTCGTAGAAATGTTCGCATTTTTTCGGCGTTCTGATTGCGCAAATGATGATAAATCGTTTGATAAAACGAAACGTAAACACTAATATGCAAATGAATCATAAATTAACAAGTGAGAAGAAACTTCTCTTGTCAAAAGGAGTACATATGTCGTCACGCGGAACCTAGATTCTTTAAAAGATGTTTACTGGCCGTTACTAGCGAACCATTTCTTCCCAGATTCATGACCGCCTTTTTTGCCGTAATTCTTCTCGTCGCGATGATGACTGTCGTGGCCTTCGGCGGCCTTACGACCCTTCTGGTTTCGGTGATGGCGGCCCTCTTCGTGTTTCTTCTTTTTGCCGTGATGATGCTGGAATATTCGTATGATTTTAATCAGTTTTTAGTTTATTCTACGCCTCAACTGAATATCTATAAAAATAGTTAAATTCTTTTGTGAACATTCAATCACACTTCGGGTGAAAAAGATGGCACACTTTAAAATTAACGTGAGTTTTATTTATTTAACGTCTCAACTAAGCTTTTTGTTTTGTTCATTCTTGCAAAATACCACTATAAACATAGACAAATGAAACAGAATTGAATTTCGATAGGATCGAATGTCTATACAATTTTATTGAGAAAGAATATTTAAGGAAAAAAGAATTTTTAAGGAGACATAGTGGGACAAAATGACAGCACATCTAACTAAAAATTATGTGTAGCTGTAAATCAACGAGTGATACTTAGTGATTAATATTTGTGTTTCCCCTTTAAAAATCCTTATTTTTCAAATTGATTGTTGATCAAAAGATTGACGAAATTCAATTCTATTTTGTTTGTGTGCGCGTTTATACTGGTTTTCTCGCAAAAATGTATAAAAACGAAAGCTTGTTCGAATCGTTAAATAAATAAAAATCACATTACTTTTGAAGTATGCTATCTTCTGGTCCGGTAGAGTATACTCGAACGAAATTACGTTGCGAACATAATGTTACATCAAAGTTGCAGATTTTCTCCCTTTCTTTCGATAAGAAATGAACTTTCAACTAAACAATTGAGTCATTTATTTTAAAAATAGGCTAAGTCCATTCATTTTCATTCAAAAAAAAGATACTTAAGGATTTTGCGTTTTAATAAATTTAAAGATATTGGTAACTGATAACATGGTAGTACAATGTTTATGTGTTTCAAAAGTTATTTTTCTATTCTAAAGATTATTGCCTTCTAGAGGCTTTGCTGAAATGAAATTATTCACAAGGTGTCCCAAAATTATGTGCAGATTTTGCAATGAAAAAACTGAAACGATATCACACGTAATCAACAAATGTTGAGGAATGGAAGTGGTAATAGTATTATATATGGTATTATTATATATTGTATATTATTTATTATATTATTATTATATATTATTATATATGGTAGTATATACATATATTGCCATAATATAAAATATATGTTTTACTGAGGGGAACTTTGAAGGCAACAACTTGGATGAGGAATATAATAATAGTAAAAGGAGAAAAGGAGAGAGAAGAACAAATGAATTATTGAATTACTGACTTTGAAAATTTTATATACAGGGTTTCCCAAAATTATGGTATCTTCGGAAAATGAGAGGTTCCTCAAAACATTTGAAGTAACTTTTTCCTTAGCGAAAATGCAATTCGCAGCTTTGTTTACGAGTTATTAACGAAAAACGGTGACCAATGAGAGACGAGATATACTGGCGCGAGGCGGTCGAGCCAATATGCGGAACTGTGCTTCGACCGCTCATTGGCTCGCCTGCCCTGCGGCGCTGAGCTCGCCTCTCATTGGTCAGTGTTTTTCGTTAATAACTCGTAAACGAAGCAATGGATTGCATTTTCGCTAAGGAAAAAGTTGCTTCAAATGACCTCAGGAACCCTCTGTTTCCCGAAAGTAACATAATTTTTATGACATCCTGCATAACGTAGAAATATGAATATTAAAATAGCTAGCTCAAATTTTTGGAAAATGGACTTAGGCCTCTTTTAAAATAAACGGCTCAATTAATCGGAGAAGCGAAGACGGATAACCTCGATAGAGACACACCTTTTCGTCGAAATTATGATTCTCTTTGACGTACCTCATTATGGCCAGAGTCCACATGGCCCATTTTCTGGTGGCCACCTTTCTTGCCCTCGTGTTCATGGTGGTAGCCGCCGTGCTTCTCGTTCTCGCCGTCCTCGTGGTACTCATCATAGAAGTCGTGCTTCTTCTCGTACTCGTCCTACGACAGCGGATAATCGGCTTCGACAGATTAGCCGGGTAAATCCTTAATTACTATATTAATTACCGACGTCGCAGCTCGCTCGATACTCGGAAAATTAACTGACTCCCGTAAGTTCCACGCGAAACTTTTGTTCCGTTGACAGACTCGATAAGGTCGCGAGCGATGTGCTCGATAATTGAACGACGCCGTAATTAATTAAGAGTGATTTAAATCGGCTGCAGCATTTTCCGAAGTATTCTCAAGTTGACTTTACTTAAACAAAGTAATTTCTGTAACGCGGATCATTATGCGAAGTAAATAACAATTTATAAAATAATAATTTTGATAGGTTCGCGATAATAATAAGAAGTCGCAAAATATTGTGCATTAAATGTCGTTCGTTGATTTATTCCTATACATAATTTTTAGTGAAATGTGCTATTATTTTGTCGCACTATACTCCCATAAAAATTCTTTTTATTCAAATCGAATATTGTTTAGACTGGTAAAATTTAACCCTATTTCATTTGTGTATATTTATAGTGGTATTTTGCAAATCCTCATAAAACAAAACCCTGGTTGCAATATTAAATAAATAAATAATCACGTTAATTTCTGTACTATTTTTTGCTACGGACTGTACTACCAACAATTTTGACTTTTTCTCGTTGTAAAAATTTGTGAACATTGTTGAAGAGTAACAGATGTACAGGGTGACCTTGAATGATCTTTATTTATAGGTCAATGTATTCGTCTTGAAAAGCTTTATCAAAATGTGAATAAAAAGATGTATCATCCCATTTAAAAAAACAAGGTTGACCTTCATATGTCCTCTATACCTCCACCTATAAAAAAATTATTGATATAATGCAATGTACCCCTCCAAATTAAAGCACTTTTGTCTGACACTTCTTTTTCTATTGTCAAAAACCTGCGAGTTATCCAGGCGTTTCGTTTCACAAATGTCCCACCCTGTATATGAAAAACACCAATGCAAGATGTTACTCTTCTTTTTTTTATAAAAAGAATACCACAAAAATGAGAAAACGTGTTCTAGACAGCAACACCCCCTTAATCTTCCTATTGTTTGAAGTTTCAGTAGCTCAGTTTTTCCGTAAATTTCTTTAGGAAAATCATTCGGAGAGCGGAAGCAACGAATAAACCATTGTTTCGAATAACAATTGTACATTTATTATTGTTAATAGTGATGTCAACGAACCTTCTTGGAAATACTGTGCTCTCCCTTGGTGCTGTATCCTTTCTGGTGTTTCCCCTCTTCGTCGAATTCCCCAGTTTTCTCACCTTTCTCGCCGTGATGACTTTCATCATAATGATCAGCCGCTTCATGTTTCTCCTCCTCCTCGCCCACCTTCTCGTCGTATTGTTGTTTATGATTCTCTTTGTCGTGGTGACCCTTCTCGCCCTTATCGAATTCGTGGAAGACCTTGTAACCCTGTCCGACAAGAAATACGATTTATCAGAATAGGAAAACGATACATCTCGTTATTTTGTTCACTCTAAAATAATAAATGTTTATAAATTCATGAATTAAACAATTTTGTAATTATTGTTATTAAGAATCAAATTTTTATTAGTAATTATAAAGAACACAATTTTTGTTAGTGATTATTAAGAACTAAATTTTTGTTAGTAATTATAAAGAAGCCAATTTTTATTAGTAATAATTAAGTAATAATTAAGTATAAATTAGTAATAATTAAGGATAAAATGTTTATTAATAATTATTAAGAATCAAATTCTTCTTAGTAATTATTAAGAATAAAATTTTTATTAGTGGTTACTAAAAATTAAATATTTATTAGTAATTATTAAGATTAAAATTTGTATTATTGATTATCAAGAATAATATAATTATTTTAGTAAGAATAATTCATATATATATGAATATATAAATATTCATATAATAAATATATAATAATAAATATATAATATATATATATATAATAAATATATAAATATTTTNAAATGTCGTTCGTTGATTTATTCCTATACATAATTTTTAGTGAAATGTGCTATTATTTTGTCGCACTATACTCCCATAAAAATTCTTTTTATTCAAATCGAATATTGTTTAGACTGGTAAAATTTAACCCTATTTCATTTGTGTATATTTATAGTGGTATTTTGCAAATCCTCATAAAACAAAACCCTGGTTGCAATATTAAATAAATAAATAATCACGTTAATTTCTGTACTATTTTTTGCTACGGACTGTACTACCAACAATTTTGACTTTTTCTCGTTGTAAAAATTTGTGAACATTGTTGAAGAGTAACAGATGTACAGGGTGACCTTGAATGATCTTTATTTATAGGTCAATGTATTCGTCTTGAAAAGCTTTATCAAAATGTGAATAAAAAGATGTATCATCCCATTTAAAAAAACAAGGTTGACCTTCATATGTCCTCTATACCTCCACCTATAAAAAAATTATTGATATAATGCAATGTACCCCTCCAAATTAAAGCACTTTTGTCTGACACTTCTTTTTCTATTGTCAAAAACCTGCGAGTTATCCAGGCGTTTCGTTTCACAAATGTCCCACCCTGTATATGAAAAACACCAATGCAAGATGTTACTCTTCTTTTTTTTATAAAAAGAATACCACAAAAATGAGAAAACGTGTTCTAGACAGCAACACCCCCTTAATCTTCCTATTGTTTGAAGTTTCAGTAGCTCAGTTTTTCCGTAAATTTCTTTAGGAAAATCATTCGGAGAGCGGAAGCAACGAATAAACCATTGTTTCGAATAACAATTGTACATTTATTATTGTTAATAGTGATGTCAACGAACCTTCTTGGAAATACTGTGCTCTCCCTTGGTGCTGTATCCTTTCTGGTGTTTCCCCTCTTCGTCGAATTCCCCAGTTTTCTCACCTTTCTCGCCGTGATGACTTTCATCATAATGATCAGCCGCTTCATGTTTCTCCTCCTCCTCGCCCACCTTCTCGTCGTATTGTTGTTTATGATTCTCTTTGTCGTGGTGACCCTTCTCGCCCTTATCGAATTCGTGGAAGACCTTGTAACCCTGTCCGACAAGAAATACGATTTATCAGAATAGGAAAACGATACATCTCGTTATTTTGTTCACTCTAAAATAATAAATGTTTATAAATTCATGAATTAAACAATTTTGTAATTATTGTTATTAAGAATCAAATTTTTATTAGTAATTATAAAGAACACAATTTTTGTTAGTGATTATTAAGAACTAAATTTTTGTTAGTAATTATAAAGAAGCCAATTTTTATTAGTAATAATTAAGTAATAATTAAGTATAAATTAGTAATAATTAAGGATAAAATGTTTATTAATAATTATTAAGAATCAAATTCTTCTTAGTAATTATTAAGAATAAAATTTTTATTAGTGGTTACTAAAAATTAAATATTTATTAGTAATTATTAAGATTAAAATTTGTATTATTGATTATCAAGAATAATATAATTATTTTAGTAATAATAATTCATATATATATGAATATATAAATATTCATATAATAAATATATAATAATAAATATATAATATATATATATATAATAAATATATAAATATTTTTGTAATAATAAAA